ACTAACTAGTTTATTTTGCAATAAATTAACTGGTATAGCTCAAGTATGTTAATATTTAAAATTGTTTTTAACTAATTCTTAGAACAAACCTGGTCAAAGAAAAAGGTACCTAATCTATTTATACAAAATAGCATAAACTTAATGTAGTTTAGTATTCATGCTCATTTTTAATTTGTATTTTTCTCAAAATGTGTGCATTTGAAAGTATTTAAAAAATGTTCACTATTTTATTTTGTAGTATATTTATGAATTAACTTTTTATATAAATTAAATGCCTTTTTTGCCTTTTTTTACATTTTAAATGCTTTTTTTTATTGATTATATTGCCTTCAAATCCGAACCCTAATCATAACCAAAAATGGGCACAATGACTGTTGACCAGCATGGAATTAATTTACTGAACTCAATAAGTTTTTTCGCTAATTTTGGTGAATATTGCCTATTGTCATGGTCGCCTGTAGTGTTGACATATACCTTACTCGATTCTACACAATATAAATATATTTGTTTTATTTCATCAAAAACTAATATAGCATTAATTTCATCATTTTCATTCTCTAGATCATATATTAAAACATCCGTGTCACGTTCATCCACTTCTTCAATCTCTATATTATGAGTTGCTATTTTTCGTTTGAGGTAATTTTTAGCATTTTCACATTCAGTTGGTACTTGATTAATATTTAGTCCATCAGTTTCATTCAGAGAGACTGTACAAATGAATTTGAAAATATGTTTTATATTTTCAAATGAAGTACTTATCACAAGCAAACCAATACTTCTCATAAAAATATTTTTTATCCTATAATTACAATTTTTTAGTTCTGACCAAGAACTTACTAAATGATATAATAAAATTATATAATAATGATATAATAAAAGAACTTAGATTATATGATTAAAATCGTTCCTTATCATGGATTTTGGAATATCTGCGCCGGGTTCCTTCATAATAAGCTTTGAACAGCTTGAAAGGTAAAAATTTAGATCCGAAAATTGTGTGAACGATTTACTAACAGCATGCTTTAAAGCTAATGATTGGTCTGTAATTATCAATTTCGGTGGAGTCTTAACAGTACGAAGCCATTAACCAATAACTAAAGCAGTTATTGTCATGCTTCTCCGATAACATGTGTCCTACTGCAAATTGATTTTCGTTTTTTTGGTTGTATAGAGCTATTTGGTATAAAAAAATATTATGATTTTGTCGCCCTGAAAAAGATTGAATTTTTTTATAATAGATCACGTTGCATTAATTGAAATTGTTGAAGTAATAGACGTTTTCAAATAAGTTCAGTAATTATTTATTTTTGTCGATGTCCAATAATGCATAAAAAACTTGGCATATCCGATTTCTATAATAATATTATTGTAAGGGGGAGATCCTTTTAACAATGATATAGATTTTATAGTATAAAGTATACACCAATATTGTACTAATTTATTTGTTTTGATGTTCTAATAAAATAAAATGTGTACCCCAATTGTCTGTAGGTTTTTTAAATAAATTATTATGGTTTATGAATATATTGTACTAGAATCGTGCAATCAATTATACTACGTTATATTTTGTTTATATATATTATAGTCAATGTTAAACATATAGTTATTATTTCATAATAACAAACTTACTTTTACTAGTTTAAACATGTCTACTATAATTTGTTAATCACTAATTCACATAAAAATAAAAAATAATTAAAAATGTAAATAATGTAATAATGTAATTGATCTATTGTATACTTATATAAACTATTATGTAAAAATGTCAAACATATGGGAAAATGTTATAAAAAAAAGTACCTATATTAAAAAATATCATAAATGCAATTTCAAATTTAAGTGCTGAAATCAATACAAGTAACGAACCAGTAATACAAACATCTTACAATCTTACGAAAATTCATACGAATAAAGCGAGTTATCAAAATAGGTTAACCTGAGTTATTTAATATGAAAATACGTCTTGTTGATGATAAATTTCGAAAGTTCATATAACCATTTCCCCAGCACCCTCTAAGAAAAAATGCTATATCCCGAAAAATTAAAAACCACAAATGTCGGGACTTTCATCACAAAGAAGCACAACCGAGTCATAAATCATTGACATCATTACAATTATTAAATACGAACGTGGGCGGCAACCGTTTCCCCGTCACCCCCTATGAAAATCCTTTGTATCTCGAAAAGTTTAAAAGGACAAATGTCGAGACTTTCAGCACAAAGGAGCAGAGATAATGTACAAAAAAGGCTCTTGGTTTCGTTTCAAAATTCAAAAGTAGGGGTGCAACCATTTCCCCAGCACCCCCTAAGAAAAACCTTTGTATCTCGGAAAGTTTAAAAGCAAAAATGTCGGGACTTTCAGCACAAAAAAGCACAAATAATGCACAAAAAAAAGCTCTTGGTTTTGTTTCAAAATTCAAAAGTGGAGGTGGCAGGGAAATGTTTCTATAATTTAGAATATCTATATCAAATTACGTGTAATTAGCCATATCTCTCTTCGTCAATATTTCCGATAAAAAAAAATGTGATTATTATTCAAAAGAATATGCCATTTTCCTGTGAACAAAATGCAATATGTATATCAAATTACACGAAATATCATGTCTTCACCTGATAATATTTCTGAGAAAAAACATCAAGTTCTCACACACGTTATATTTCCGAGAAAAAATTAATATTGTTGATTTTGTAATAATTAAAAAGACCTTTCCCTCTCCACAATAACCGAATCTGAAGTCATTGACTTACTGTTGGGGTCTATACCAATATCAGTCGATGCGTTGAGTTCATAGTGTTAATTTTCAAGTCGGTAGTGTGTTTTTTTTTATTTGCAATGGCCGGATCATTACAGAGTAATGCTGCCATATTCAAGAAATCATAGTACATGTACGTTGCACCCATGAAACCTAACGAACTAATTGATTCAAGTATGTTTGGAATTGACTTTGTCGGTAGTAAATTCTTAAAGATTGGATTCGATCCGAGCGATAATTTCAAACTTATAATTCGAATCATATCTATGTACGTATACGCCTTGTATATTATTGAAATTTGGTTATTTGAGAAATCTGCATGGAAATCTTCATACGGGTACACTTCAGAGTTCAAGTAAACTTTGAGGTTTTTCAGGTAACAGTGATCGAAATACGCAGAATGATTTAGCAGATTATTTTTCCGATCTGTTTGAAACCAAATTACAACAAATCTAGGTTTTTCCAACAAACTGCTAGATTTCACCGTCCACGAATGCGAAGTAATTTGAGGTAAAACAGGGTACTCACAGAGGTTCCAGTTCCTAAAAGCACACGACAACGGTTCACGAAAGTCCAAGACTTTTAATAATTTCAATTTTTCTTTATCATTTACTCTGACGATTAATTCTCCAATCGAAGACAAGTCTACAGAAAACATTGAGTTATGGTTACAATCAAATGAAAGAGATAAAGTGTATGGTCCGAGGAAGTTGACCAATAGTAGTATTGTTTTAGGCAATAAAGAAATCAAATTTATAGAAAATACGTTAATTATTAAGAATTCTTCCTACCCATTAACAAGTGGTTTAATTGGTTTATTGTTTGCGAGATTTCCTACTTACTGTTACTTACTATATACTGAACGGGATTTAAAAACTTATAAATCGATATTAATTCAAACATCAGCACATTTAACACAAGATGGACAACGAATTAAAAAAGGTGGATTTAAGTATATATGCATCGTAAATAAATTATTTCCTTCTGGAAAGGGCTATAATAGTGTACAACTTCAAAAACACAATTTAGTTTATTGGGACGAGCCAAACGAACTTGTCGATAAACTACGTTTGCTCTTAGCCTCTTAAGGAGTAGGAAATACCGGTGTTTCTAATGAAATATTATCGATTTTCGAAGAGCTGAAAGAAGCGGGGATAATAAAAAGAATACCAGATGTCTGTTAAGCGAGATATTGCACGTGAACTTCATCGTCCAGTGAGGAAAAACTTTAACAGATGTGCAGTTAATATTTACGGTAAAAACGATTTATGGCAAGCCGATTTAATGGAAATGATTCCGTATTCAAGACAGAATAAATGTTATAAATATATTCTATGTGTTATAGACTGTTATACAAAATTTGCTTGCGCGTTTCCGTTAAAATCGAAAACTGGAGTTGAAGTCTCTAACTCGTATTCGAAAATACTGTTTTTATTCCGACGAAATAAGCAAAACAAATCATCCTGACAAATATTTATTCGAGAAAAAAATACGTAAAAGGGGTAATCGAATGTTTGTCAAGTAGCTGGATTTTGATGACGCACATAATAGTTAGAAAAAATAGAAATAATTTTTAACGAGGCAGTTTCAATTATTTACCTGAAGTACAATGTCGGCAATTTTAGATATTCAATGCGTTCTCGGAGTCAATAATAAATACATGATTAAAGAAATGTCTGTAATATGCGTAGATACACATGCAGTTCATCATTGGATTTTAAATACTCAAAATCAATGCAGGATAATAAAAGTCGTAAAACCAATAAGAGGCTGGGACGTAATTATCATCAACTATCTATAGAATACGGTGACATTGAGTATAAAGAAGTCAGAAGAATATTGAATTCATTAAAGTTCACCTGCATTTACGTCAAAGGTGAACAAAAAAAACAAGTTCTCGTGGAGTATATACCTCACATCGCACTCATCAACATTGAAGACTTGGGCTGTCTTCGTATGGATCAAATATGTGATGACGAAACTTTACCTTGCTGTATTTTTTATATGGAATATAATCCTAAACAATGTACATTTAACAAAGTATTTGCCATAAGGAAATGGTTTATAAATAATTCTTATAAAATGTTATTGTATTTAATAAACTTAATAATATTTTAACATTGGTTTTTTATTTTTCACGCTAATTTAGGTATCCTAAAATTGTCAATACATAATTATAGGTTGCGAGTAATATTATTCACAATATAAACATAAAATTATTTACATGAATATATAAAAATTATTTGCGTGATATTATATATATATATCAAGTTTGTACAAATCCTAATATCCAGTATCAGACATCATATCAGCCAACTCTGCATCTCTATAAAATTATAAATATTATTTGTATAATAATTTAAAATTATAATTATTTCAAAACTTACACTATTCTATAATGTCCGTGGGCAAGCGTATGAACTTTATCTTCCAACGTATGCTTCTTGTCATCATAGCTGTTGTATGTCAATTTTTTAGTGCTTATCGTCATGAGCTGATGGTTAAAAGATCGTATCGATACATTCTCCCTGTACAATTCCACTCCAGCTTCTCCAAACAAACACTTTCTATGGTCTTCAAGATTCATGTGATTTTTAACCACATGAGACCTGATCCACCACCAAGCTTACAGGATTTAAAAAATAAAATAACGGTAGCGTGCAGACAATTAACAAAAGAACAAATTTTGGCAGCAACCTATAGAGAAGTGAGTCGTCGACTGGAATTGTGTTAAGAAAAAAACGGAGGAAATTTTGAACCTTTTATCAGATAAAAAAAATAAACATAAGTCAAAACAATGTAACGGAGTAATTTTTATTTAATTTCCTATTTCTCATTCTTAATTAAAGTCTATGAAAAAATCACTCAATTCAAGCGTGTAATGTTTTTGGTAAAATCGAAAAAATTTAATTATTTAAAAATTTCAAAAAGCTGTAATTCATTCAATTTTAGGTTTACAACTATGGTCAATGGATCAAAATTACTTAGAATAAAATAATCTATCCATATCCGGTGACAAAAATAGGTGTTGCAATTTTAAAAAAATAATTTGTATTGCGCATGCGCATACTACAAGTGTTAAAAATTTGAAATTTATCCTTAAATGTGTACTTCAGTACCCCTGAGCTATTGCAGCAAACCGTATTTCAATCTAAGATTATCGGGCTGAGATATTTAGTGGTACATTTAAAACAGGACGCACTGTATACCCCCTTCATATTTCTTCATTGGAAAATTTTCAAGTCTTATTCTTCATCACACCCATCCTTATACTTCCCGTCATTATATAAATGATAATTTCATTAACATACAATAACACCTCCCCTTTTACCACACTAAGTATTAGTATTTAACCGAAGTAAAATAATAATATCTAAGACTTTACAAATATATTATTTTAAAATGATTACACATGATACATACATACATACTTGTATATATATATATATATTCATATACAAAATTATTTAAAATGTTATTAAGTATATATTCAAATTATTAACACAATAACATCTGATCATCTAATAGTAATTTCCAGATTTGTCAATGTCTGCACGTGTAAATGCTAACGGTCGATTATTCGATAATAAACTTAGATATTAAAGAATCATTAAGAAATAGAAAGCTATTCGTTAGTCATATATAATGACTTAGATAGACAATGAATATTAATCGATTTGCGTGCCGGTCGAAACATGTTCGGATATGAGTGGGAAAAATTATGAACTCTTTTCACATTTGAAATCGAAATGCTTTCATTATGTCTTTTAGTCTCATACCCGTCTTTATTCGCTTCGTGTTATCATAGTCTTATTCGATTATGAAGATTAAAAATAGTATTCCTCCCTCCATCCTTCGTTCCATGAAAATCATATGAAATGTATTTTCATACGATATACTTTTCGAGTTCAAGTATTGATTATTTTTAAAATAAACGAGATATCACTCAAAATAATCTCTCGAGTTTATAATCGATTATTTTGATAATCGAGATATTTGTCAAAATAATATCTCTGTTATTGTTCGAACAAGCTATTGTGTTTGTGTCTGGTCATGAGAACCGGTTCCCCCCGATAGCGTGCCGATTATGGAATGTTCGCGAACTTTCGTTCGGCGCTCTTCGTCGTGTTAGCATCACGCTCCGGGGCGACACTTGCAACCGAGCGAGCTGGTGGTACGTATTCCCGCCGGGCGTGTAACTTCTTTGCCTTTGCCGTTGTGCATGTTACCGCCGGATGTGTGACTTTTCTTTTGCTGTCGTGCATGTTACCGCCGGGTGTGTGACTTTTCCTTTGCCGCCATGTATGTTACCGCCGGATGTGTGACTTTTCCTTTACCGTCGTGCGTATCACCGCCAAGCGTATTATCCCTTTTGCCGTGGTCCGTCATCTTCGTGTGCGTGGCTTGTCCTTTCCACATCGCCATTCAAGCCATCGGCAGTGTCATCGTCGTCGAGGTTGGTCGCGTCCAGTGAGCTTCCGAAGTCGTCAACATCTGTCGGTCTTGGTGGCTGTCGCACGTGTTGTGTGCACGGTCGCGTGTGCGCAACTACTCAGACCGATCGAGGTATTTATGATCGAAACCGGTGACACGTAGCGTGACCTGACTCGTGTATTGTTCACAATAATTATTGTTAATTTCTTTTTTACTCATATCTTTATTATAATTATTATTATTATTCGTATAATTGATAAGTTATATGTTCATTTGAGTATTTTAATTCTTGGGCGCCCATCAAGTGTGTAAATATTATTATTATTATGGGATATTTACTTTGAATATAAATTAACGGTATCATAATTTATGTCCTTGACTTAATTTGATGCTACCTCTGTCCCTCATTCCTTTTTTGCGGATTGACGTTGTAGTCGGGTTTATTTCGGTTGTGGCGAAGCCGTCGGATTACCTCTGACCATTGAGGTTTCGCGTACAGTTTTATAATCGAATTATTATTTTCATAATCGAGATATCTCGATTATATATCTCAATTACGCCCATCACTAATTCAGACGAGTTTTGGCTATGCTGCACTGAGCACCTTCACGTCAGTGTATGTCATGGTCCGGACTTAGAAATATTTCACACTATTTTTATAAGTCATAATTGTTAGGACTTAGAATAATGTCTACAATCCAAATTATTTGGACTTAGAATATTTACAAAATTGTAGTTAGAATAATTTTATAAGTTTAATAAATTAAATTATTATAAAGAGTCTTAATTATTCTTTACTACACCTACATCCAAGCGTTGACTGAGACGTTAGCATTGAAATCACGGATCTAACGGTTGACACGTAACAAAAATTGGCGCAGTCGGTAGTATATTCAATAGAAGGCAATTCCACGTCGGAACCACTGAGGAGCTGAATAACCTGCAGTCCTTCAACTTCTCAACTTCCATTGAATTATTATTGATCCATTATATTAATTATCCATTGATATTCCACCGGATCATTCAGTCAACAACATGTCTTCAATCAACAATTGCTTGTAAGCATACATTTTGTAACAACTATATTATTTTAAGATACAATTTTATAAAAAGAAACGAAAACATTCTAAGTTCATAAAAAACCATTGACACCTAAAAATTCTAACTAAACATACCCACATTATTATTGAGAATTATTATTGAATTATTAAAGGGGATCTCAAGATTATATTGAGATTACATTGAGATTATATTGAGATTATATTGAAGTTATATTGAAATTATATTGAGTTTATATAGAGAATTATTATTGTGAAATTTGTTGAGTTTATCAGGCGCTGGTGACTCAATACGGTAGGGAAAAATATTATTTTGTTAGAGTTATTACAAAGGGAATATTATTAAAAATTATTTAAAGAGATTATTATTGTTGAATTACTGAGATTATTATAATTGAATTTATTGAGAATTAAAAGTTAATGGGTAAAGAATTTTTATGAGTAAGTATAGCAGTCCGGACTCGTCTTCATCGAAAGTAGCTAATTCGGTGTATAGGGAAAAAATTGAAAGTGAAGGTAGTGTAGAAGATCTTGACAAAAGTTTTGTAAAATAAGAAAATATTGACGAACACACTAAAAAATTATTAAACGCAGGAACATAAAGCGAGCATCATAGAACTCGAAGTAATCGTAACACTGAATTTGAGGAACTAAAATTTGAAGTAAAACCTAGAAGGAAAATGAATAGCGATATAGTAACACTAAAATTGGAAGAGGCAGTTAAATTAATACCAAAAAGTACTGGAGAAGATGACGTTTATCAGTTTATTCAGGCATGTGATTTAGCTATAGAGTCAGTAGAAAAGAAAAATGTACCGATTTTAATAAAATATATAACAACTAAATTAAGTGCGATTAAATATAAAGATACGACTAAATGGAAAAACATAAAAAAATATTTAACCGACACGTTTGAGGCACAACACTCCGCTTCAGCTTTACAAATAGAATTAAATTCTATTAAAATGCTTCAGGGGGAAAACGTAAATACTTATACAAATCGCGTAGAAAAATTATTTTATAAGTTAAGTGATATGAGCACAGCAAATAAAGATAAAAAGAGGCTAGCATTATTCACGATACAATAAAAGAACAAACTTTAGTAGTATAAGTATACATAAAAGGGTTAATAGGTCCGATACGCACCATTTTAAAAGCGAGGAATCCAAGTACGTTGGAGGAAGCTAAACAGTTAGCGCGTTCAGAAGAAATCGAATATAAGTCTAGTTCTGAATTTAACCAAAATCCGAATAAAAATCGAAATTTTAATAATAATTCATCTAAAGCAAACAATCAGAATAATTTTAGGATATTTAATAGTGGTGGGCAACGATATCGATAATTCGATACGATATCGATATCGTGACACATTTTCGACACCGATATCGTTCTATAATTGGATGATATATCGCGATATCGAAAATAATGTTTTTCAAGAAAAATACATGGTATTTAGTAAATACTATTTACTATTTGTAGGTTTAAAACTATAATAAATAATAATAGCTGTCAGCTGATAACGTTTGGTGCTCGTATTCCGGTGAAATGTCAATTGTTGTACACTAATAATAATCCATTATAATGTTATCTAAAAAGGAATATTTTGCTGACTTTTAAGAGGAACACGGTATAGCTATTAGCTAGTGTTGGGCAACGATATAATTTTGTGTATAGATATCGTTAAGATTTTTCCGTAATACACACAGTGTAATTTGTGTCGTCGGTGCGAACATTTTTCGAACATTTCTGACATTTATCGTACAGTGACAATTATTTTATTGTGATATAGTACAGTGATATTTATTAATTTCAAATAATTATTACAACATTATTTTTAGTGATGAGTGAACTGAAATTGGTGCCTCTACCTGGGGCTAGGAGTGAAATTCGGAAAACATTTGGTTTTAAAATAAATGATAGTGGTATTATAATAGATAAAAAAAAGTATTCTGTCGAGCATGTAAGAGTTCAATTGCTTATAGTGGAAATACATCAAATTTAAATTCACATTTACAACAGTGTTTAAGTGTGAAACCAAAAAATAACACTAGCAGTATTGCGACATATTTCAAAGGACCAACAGCGAAATTACCTCTGAACAGTAAAAGAAACAAGGAACTTACAAAGGGTTTGATTCAGTTTATCGTTAAAGATCTAAGGCCCTTGAGTTTAGTAGAAGGAGAAGGCTTTCGTGAATTTTTGGATTTAGGTATTCCCGAGTACAATGCACCTAGTAGACGAACAATATCACGGTTAATTGATCATGCAGCACTTTTGGAAAGGGATAATTTTAAGAAGTATTTATCAAATATTTCTTATATTAGTTTGACCATCGATTTTTGGACTTCCGATTCAAATAACAGTTATTTAGGTGTAACTTGTCATTTTATTGACAGCTGGTCCTTACATTCACGAGTTTTGGAAGTCATCGAAGTACCTGAATCACACACTTCTATAAATATAGTAAGCAATTTAAAATCCGTTCTTAAAACCTGAGATATTGAAAATAAAGTAGTGGCTTTTGTTTGTGATAATGCTGCGAATATGGTTAAAGCGATTAATGACATGGATAAATTTAATCTGGTAAGGTGCACAGCTCATTCAATTCAACTATCTGTAAATGCTGGTCTTAAAAATGATGTTACCAAGGAATTGATTAATAAGTTAAGAAAGATAGTTGGATACTTTAATATAAGTTCGTCAGCTCAAAGTGAATTAGAAAAGGAACAAGTTAAATATGGAGAACCACAAAATAAATTAGTGCAAGATTGTGTCACAAGATGGAACTCTACATGCAATATGATAGAAAGTGTAATAAAACATAGATACTCAATCAATTTCGTCATATCTAAAAATAAGAAAACTGACGAATGGTTCATTAAATCAGCAGAAGTACAAAATTTAAAAGATTTGGTTAAAGTTTTAGAGCCTTTTAAATCTGTAACTAATACACTCGGCGGAGACAAATACGTAACGGCTTCCGTAGCAAACCGTTTGATTAAAAGTCTTCTTAATACAATTCAAACGTGTGAAACCGATTCTAAATTTATAAAGACAGTTAAATTGAGTATACTACAAGACTTGAAAATTAGACGAGAAATGATGAGCCCAGTTTTATCTAAAGCAGCTGCGTTAGACCCTAGATTTCACGAACTAAAATTCATATCCGATGAGCAAAAAACTTTGATTTGGGAAGAACTTGAAACTGAAATTTGTGAAATGAATCCACAGAGCCAGGAAATTATAAATGATCAAAATAAAGCAAATGAAATAGAAAATGTTATTAGCTCGGATGAAGATAATCCACCTCCCAAAAAAATGCGTTCATTAATGGCTGATAGCGATGATGAAGACGAATATTCGATTGGTTTTGAAACTCTGATGACAGCATCAAGGCAACTACAAAACTACAAGAATATGACTACAAAATGTCATCGAGATGAAGATCCACTTAAATGGTGGAAAGAAAATTCAAATTTATATCCAGAAGTCTCAAAATTAGCAAAAAAATACTTGTCGATAATCGCGACTAGTGTCCCATGTGAACGTCTGTTTAGTGAGGCTGGCAATATAACTTCAAAGAAAAGAAGTAGTCTATCTCCAGACCGAGTTAACAATCTTCTCTTTTTAAACTCTTGTTATAAATCCACAAAGACATCAGACCACACTTTGGTAAGAACATACATTTAAATTTTTTAAATTTAAATTCAAGATAATATTAAATTATTAAAATAATTATGAATTTATTTTCTAGGATGCAGCTATCGGGTTTGAACTTTGAACACATTTAAGGAGAAGTTATTTAATTGTTAGTATGTAACTAGTAATTAACTAGGTAAAACAAATGTTTAATAAATAGTTTATTATAAATAATTAATAAATAATAAGTATGTAATGTTAAATGTGTACGATGTTGGTGTACCAATAATAAATATTAATTAGCTTAATAAAGTAAATTCCTTAGTGTGATATAAATTTAGTTAAATGATTAAATTAATACAAAAAAAATTTTTTTAATTGTTTAGGACGTTTAGGTAAACATAAAATTATATTTACGATACGATATCGATATCGTAGAAATAACGATATCGCGATACAATATCGGAAAAATCTGAACGATATCGATACAAAAAATTATATCGTTGCCCACCACTAATATTTAATAATAATAATAATAACACACAAAGAACAAATTTCAGAAATAATTTTAATAATCAAATTTTAGAAATAACACAAATCCAAATAATAATTTCGCGAGACCAAATTTTAATAATAGTAATAATAATAATATAAATCAGCCGCAAAGACCGATAAAATGTTATATTTGCAACGGAAATCATTTCGCTAACCAGTGCACAAATAAACGTAACTTTATGCAGAATACTCGACCACCTAATCAGAATAATTTTACACGACCATCTACTAGTTATAATATGAGGTGTATTTCATGTGAATATTATAATAACAACGGACATAATATAAATGAATGCTATAAAAAAATGTTTAACGATAGCCAGAATAATATTAATAACGATGATAATAACGTAAATTCGGAAAACGCGAGCGAATCGTGCGCGGTACGCGGTACACGTACGATAAATCATATATCGACCGCGGAGCAAACCGAAACTGCTTCCATGTTATATCAATAATGACGGAAAATCATATAATATGCACTTCTGAATTTAGTAATACGAAAACTTTAGAGTTACTTATAGATACGGGTAGCGATGTAAATGTTATAAAAATAAATAAATTTAAAAAAAGATTTAATAACAAATGAAAATAATAAATTTTATTTAAAAGGAATAAATGAAACAACAACTGAAACGATAGGAACTATACATTTAGTAATAGGAATTAATAATGATAAGTTTCATGTATAATTTAATGTAGTAAAAGCAGAATATACCAAAGGACGGTAAATTAGGTCATAGATTTTTATCCGAGAATAAAGCGATAATTGACATATGTAATAAAACAATGATTATTAATAACGAAAGTGAGATTGCGAATAAAAATAATAATATAGAATATATTTCACTAAATCCGAGAACAGAAACTATTGTAGAATTACCGATATTAGATAAAAGTATAGAGAATAAAAATATAATTTTGCATAAACAAGAATTTATCAAGGATGTATATTGTAGTAATGTAATAGGGACAGTAAAAAATGGTAAAATTGTAGTGAGCATATTAAATATTTCCGAAGATAAACAAATAATTAAATTAAATGATTTAAATAAAATAGAGTATGATGAATCATCTGAATATAATATATATATAAATTTAACACTGATAATGAAAACCGTAATAATAACGACCGGATACTTCGTATAAAATAACAGATAAGATCTGACCATATGAACGATGAGGAAAGACAATCCATAAATAAAATTTGCGAACAATATTTTGAAATATTTCATTTAGAGGGAGATAAATTAACTTGTACGCATGCCGCAATGCATGAAATTAAATTAAATGATAACCAAACACCGATTTATAAACGACTATACAGATTACCACACGCACACCAAGAAGAAATAGCAAATCAAATTAAACAAATGAATTTAAACGGAATTATCGAACCTTCTCGAAGTCCTTGGAACTCACCACTTTTATTAGTAGCTAAAAAGATAGATACAACGGGAAAACAAAAGTATAGAATAGTTGTAGATTTTCGATCTTTAAATAAAGTAACATTAAATGAATTTCATCCACTTTCTAATATCACTGAAATACTAGATCAGTTGGACAAATGTCAATTATTTAGGTCCGGTTTCACCAACAAGAGCTAAAGTGCAAGTTACCAATAACTCAAGGTTAATTCAAAAAAATAATTTCACGACTTAGAGTTAAGGGGTAACATCAAGTTATCGAAAATCTTAACTCCAGATTTTAACTCCTAATATTTTTGAGTGTTAAGAGATAACTTTTAGTTCAAACAACAATATTAAAACGTGTTATCACTGTTAACATATTTTTTGCTTTCAAAAATGATTATTGTGTGTCGTATTTGAATATTTCGTTTTCGCATACAATTTTTCTGCCTGTGAAGATACTATTATAATGTATCGTAGAATATTATTTGATGACGAGAGTGTGAGCGATAACGACGACATCATTATTGCGATGCAACGAAGGCCGCGAATCTTTTACGAAATGGTCAATTACTTAGAATTATATGATGATCATGAATTCATAAATCGTTTTCGAATTTCAAAAGCAAAATTTTCCACAATATTGAGATTGATAGAAAAAGAAATATCCCTTCCGTCTCAAAGGTAAGTTCCTACAGTACCTTTTAATTACAGTTAAAAATAGTTATTGGATGGAAAACAATATAATAAAAATCTTTGTTGCTTCATTTCCTTATATATTGTTATATTGTTTCAGGAACAGGGCAATATTACCTCCATGTAAATTTTATATGATGTTAAGGTATATTGCTATGGGCTCATTCTTATTGACTATTGCTGACTTTACTGGGATCAGTTTGTTACGTGGTACCCAATAAAAACAGGTACCTATCGTAATGATGTTGTTGGATCAGGGTAAATTTGATTAAATAATTAATTTAAACACTTGTAAACACTTTAATAAATACAAATACAGAAACAGACATAGATACAAAATATAAATTATAAATTCGTGCACTAACAATATCGAAGACGAAACTCAGAAGGGCTTGGTCTGATAGCTGGACACGTCTGCCGTTGGTGGTGAAACGGAGCCTTTATATACTCTGTTGATTCTGTTTTAATTGTGTTGTTTTCGACACGTGGCTGTCCTTGGTCTTGATCTTCATATCCAAGTGATGTTTCATCACGTGGTTGCCCTTGGTCTTGATTGTCTTATTCGAATGATGATGTTGTTGTGGTTGTTTGAAATTCGCGCGTGGCGCCCATTAAGGTTTATGTGTGCAATAGTACGTTTTTCCTTATACGACTCAGGAATATGCGTATTATTATTTCTTAATAATATATGCATATTACACCTCGCCGCTAAAGAAACAATTTTGGGGTGAAACGACAAAAATGTTATGTTGTTTCTTACAATTCAATTTTCGGGATACAATTTACAAAATTAGTATTTACTAAATTTTACAAGGTTTAAGTTTCCACCCTTACAACTGGTTTACAATGGGTTGGAAATATTTTACAATGTTTGGTTGATTAATATTTGTTGAATTATACATTATAAATTTTTGTTAATTACAACTTATACTATGAACTACAACTATACTGTTATTTAATGGTTATTATTATTATTATTATTTTTTTTTCTCTTTTTTCTTTCCTTGTTTTTTTTTTTTTTTTTTTTTTTTTTTAATTATTGTGATATATTTTTACGTTATTTTTATGGACTGTAATAGATTTACGTCCTTTTTTAATAATAATGTTATGTTCATTTATAATATCTAGTACTTCGTATGGTCCTAGCCAAAGTGATTCTAGTTTAGTTCTATGTGCGTTTTGTTTTAATAATATAAAATCGCCTACGTTTATGTCTAATGGATTTTCTTTTAGATCATAACGCTCTTTCGTTTTATGTTTATTATTAATTAATCGTTCTCGCGCAATTTTATGTGCTTCTTGCATATTTTGTTTTATTTCGTATATGTAATCGTCATAGTTATAACGTGGTTCAGGTTCCAATTTTAATTTAATAGGAATTTCTAATCTTTTCCCGTAAACTAATTCATATGGCTGATATTTGGTTACTGAATGTTCCGTAGAATTATAAACAAAGAATGCGTAGGGTAATAATATATCCCAGTTATCTAGTTTTTTGTCAACATAATGTCTTAAATATTCACCTAACGTTCGGTGACTTCGTTCTAAAGTTCCGTTGGATTGTGGTCGAAATGGGCTAGTGTGTAATTTTTTTATTTTTAATAATTTGCATACTTCTGTGAAAGTTTTACTTAAAAATTCTGTGCCTTGATCTGTTAAAATTTCGTTAGGTATAGAGTGTGTTGTAAAATGTGTATAATGTGTTATAAAATGTGTAACAAATGCTTCTGCTACAGTGTTTGCAGTATGATTAGGTATTGGTGTTCCGATAGAATATTTAGTGAGATCGCACATCATAGTAAGTATATAATTATTTCCAGAAAAAGTAGGAGTTAATGGACCTACTATATCTAAAAATATTTTCTCGAACGGCCTTGATGCGGTACTTGTTATGGCAAGTGGCTGTCGCGTGTGTTTATTGGAGATTTTATTTTTCTGGCATGATTCACAATTTTTTATAAATTCTTCTACGTCTTTCCGCATTCCTAGCCAATTATAATTATGTTTAATTCGTTTTAATGTTTTGTTAATTCCGAGATGCCCTCCTATTAGTGAATAATGAAATTGATTAAGTATGTCTAATTTTTGTTCTTGGGTATAATTATCATAAGCGCATATGTTTATCTCGATAGCTGTTTTACGGAATATATATCGTATCATAGCTCTGATTGTATCGTATTTTAAACTGTCTGATTGACCTAGTTTATTCATTACGAGTTTATTTATGTTGTTATCTATACAGAAGCGTTTTAGATTTATAAGCGCAACATATATGTTTTCATATGATGTTGGTTGTTTATCTCTGTTTTTTGTTATTATAAATATTATAAATCGGTCGTTGTTTTTAAAGTAACGTATATCGCCAATTAATTTACTGTCTGGGAGTGATTGATTTATTCCGAATTTTTGTTTGATCTTATAATTGATTCCTTCTTTAAAATTATAATGTTTAGAAATTTCGGAAACAATGTGATACTCAGGA